AGCCATACCCCGAGTATGCGTAGGTAAGAAACGTTAGCACGTAGATGGCTATTTTCATGTAAGGAAAATGCATGGTCCGCGGCTTAGTTGGTGATTGATATTCCCAAATAAATACCTGATTTAATAAAAACAAATCACTGCACGAAAATTGACAAAATGCGACTAGAAAAAACAACTGTTGGAAGTATAATGTGCTGCCATATGTTAATGAAAAGTCATTTTGCATTTGTTGTAACACCCGATTTACATGATTCAAGTACTTGAAAGCAATTCTTGCTCATTCTCTTTTGTGTTTTCTATTTGCTTTTACACGTTTCAATTCTGTNAATTCTGTTGAATTCAAGTTTTTGGTTCTTTAAATGGGAAGCAACGAAAATGCCAAAAGCAAAGCAAGAAAGTTGAAACGACTTGACGGTACATACGCATGTGTACTCGCCCCTTTTCTTTTCACCCCCTCTCTTCCACATGCGAGCAGAATTGAATTCAATAGTTGAACTGTGTAAAAGCAGTCTAAGCGGCAGCACTAAAGTACTATTATCTCCTTGCACCCTGTACCTTACCGCAGAACTCCACAGGCGAACAGCGATGGCCTACCAACTGTCATTTTGACGAGCAATGTGATTGCAAGTTTTTGTGTGTGGGCACTTTGATGTCTTGAAATAAGCATTTGCCGCATGACGCCACCAGACAACATTCTCTCAATTTCGGTGTTTAAAAACATTTAAATCTTTAAAAAACTTGCTGAATAATTTCCTAAAACGTAATCATAAATAATCCAATAAGGAACAGACTTTTATTTTGATTTAATATAAAAATTTCATCGATGTTACCACCAGCACGCTTTATTACAAATGAAAATATGGCTGTCAAACTATCGAATTGCCTGCAATAGATGTCAAGCAATAAGCGCTGACATATATTGCAGCACATGAGAAATAGGCGGTCTCCATTGGAAATATATTTTGTGACATAGTTTTCACGACATCAGTGTTTTCCTGTGGAGACAGGGCCTTAGGGCCCAAACCGATACCGATTCAAATGTCGACAGTTTTGAAGCTGCTGAAATGCCTACAACACTGCAATCAAGACTATTTGTGAAATACGAGCGACGGAAGCAAAATCGCCTATGTGAATTTCTGACTATCAAGTTTTAGTCAAAATATATATCTATTACATAGTTGTAACGAAAGGTGAACACTTCGTAGAATCGGCAGTAAACGAAAAAATAAAATTTTGAGAACAAGTAAATTTTTCTTTTAAAAATGCGCAGGCTAGTGATTCATTTCCGACTTACAGTTTCTTCCATGATACAAATATTTAAAGGTAAAACCGCTCGCTCAATTCGTCGACCATCATTTATTTTTTGAAATTTGTCTACTTTATAAAATTCAAATTTTCAGAGCGACTCAACTGCCAAATAAAATAAAACAAAAAACAAATAGATAAAAATATTCAAATTTTCTTTTATTTGAGACTGAAAGTGAGAATGTATTTGTGAGATTAAAAATTTGAAAATATTTTTGTTATGTTAGCAAACTTCAAAAATGTTCAGGCTGCCTCTCAGGTGTTTTACCATCAAATTTTTGTATCATTTTTTCTTCTACATTTTCTCTTAGAAATATCTAGAGAAACCGAAAATACCATGCGATTCGTCGAAAAACTTTCGTCCGAACAATTTGACCACCCTAATGTACATATTTTAAAAGTTCTAATTTTTTTTACAACGAGATTTTTCTTGCCAAAAACCGGGACATACTGCGTTCCGGCATGTGTTGTACCGGGACCGGCGTTAGCTCTAAAATCCGGAACAGTCCCGCCGAAAACGGGACGGTTGGCAACCGTGGAATAAACGGGCGCTGCATAGTTTAGAACCGACTGGCAATTGCCTCACATGCTGCCGGCTAGCGACTTTATGACCCTCTTGTGACTCTGTACTCTATTGGCAATTGCGGTTGTGTGCGCCGAGAATGAGAGCAGACTATAGAAGGTAACTCCGGGTATTTTTGGGTTGCTCACAGTGATAACTGGTTCGCAGTCGACGTGAATTCTTAGCTGTAATCTGACCTCTTTCGTCCACCGAAAGCCTTAGTAAAATAAAACGCTATGAGGACCGTTCGCTCACACTGCGATTGCGTTTAAGCCAGAAGGCTCTCTGGTCGTACACTTTCGAAGCTCAAGTATTTTTTGCAAGGGAGTTTCGAAAAAAAAATTTGTCGAACGTAAGGGTCGTCTTTTTACATTTTTCGTCATATATCCGGCATTTTCAGAAGAAATTACACTGTGCGACAATTTTATGACAATTCAAACCAGCTCGGCCTTTGCTAATATTTTCAGAAAGTTTACATATCCAGTAATAAAACAGTCGATGGACTTGCAAAAGTTAGCTCGTATTTTTATTTTATGGCCTACTAAAATTTTCATGTCCTGGCCTAAGTAGTTTACAAAAAAGTTGAAAAAGTTTTTAAAATAAATATCTGAGTGAATTTAAAGATTAAGACATATATATTATAATACCATGGGAAATATTTTTGAAACCATTTTATCCCATTAGCTCCCTCCTGAAAGGTTCGTTTTGATCCTTACTTCAAGAAACCTCTCAAAAAACAGATTTAGAAGTTCGTTGGAGGATTGATATATTCTAGAAAATGATTCGTGGTAAAATTTTACTAGTGGCCTTCTCAGCCAAAAGCATCATGCCACATCAAGTAAGGGTCAAAACGACCATTTAATGCGGGCGCTAATGGGTTAAATATTCTACGAAAATATTTCCCATGAAATTTTACTATGTTTTAATTTTTAATTTCGCTGAGATATTTATTTTGACCATTTTTTCGACTTTTTTGAAAACTACTTAGGCCGAGACATGTAAACTTTAGTAAGCCAAAAAATAAAAAAGACTAAGTAACTTTTCCAAATCCATCGAATGTTTTACTACTGGATGGGTATACTTTCAGAAAATGTGAACAAAGTCCGGGCTGGTCCGGCAGTGGCACAGTGTGACCACCTTTTGCTTAAGATGGTTTTTGAGGATTCCAGTAAAACAATTTTTTATTGTCGAATATTTGTAGGTGTCTAGGGAAACCGCATTTTTTTTCGGTAATTGCCTTGCAAAATTATTTTCGACGCAGAGGTGTACGGCGAACGGTCTGGTGTACATACATACATGCATATGTAAATATTTAAGTGAATGCTGTGGAGGTACCTTAGACTTCACGCAATCAATGTTGTCGCATAGTCAACCATAAGTAGAGCGTTAAGTCAAGGAGTGGCAAAGCCGCAGGAAAAGGGACGTTGTTGTTGTTGTAACAGTATACAAATTCCCCAAATAGTTTTAGGGGAGTGTTGTTGGAGTGTCAGTCCTTGGTCAGATATAAATTTGGGTCGTGCCGGTTTCGTAAACCCTACTGTCGTGGGAAAGGAAAAAGGATGTTAAAACTTTCCTATGCTGGACCGCATCTCAGGTTTCAATAGTGGGACCAGTCTCCGAAACTTTTATATCTCAAATAATAGTAGCCATTGAACGATTGAGGATCTTGGTGAGATTATCGAGATTAGGAAGCTTTTTTTTTGAATTGGTTAATGTTGTTGTTGTAACAGTATACAAATTCCCCAAAGAGTTTTTGGGGAGTTATTGTAACTTTAATATACATGGCAACTCTGTTGTTAGAAAAAAGCTTCCTCGTGTATACAGCCGATTCGAATATAATTGTTTTAGTAATAAAGATTAGCACTGTACAGCAAACGCGTGTTTTATTCAACATCGACCCTATTAAAGATACATTAGGAGTGTTGCTGAAGTGACAGTCCTTGGCCAGATATAAACCTGAGTCGTTCCGGTTACGTAGAGTCGACTGTCATGAGAACGGCTAATGAACTTAAACGCAGGTTAAAGTAGCGAGGGAGTTTTTCGCAGCCTTTGTAGCTTCTTGATCGTTCAATATTTGGCCTTATTCACTGAATTATACAATGTACACTTTTCAAAGTTTATTACCCTTCATTTGTGCTCTGGTTTTGAATTATCGGTAATAATATTGGTAGCAAAATCTATTAGAAACTCGATAAAAATATCGATAAAAAAATCCCTAACAAAATCGATAAAAATATCCATAATAAAATCGATAAAAATATCGATAACCAAATCGACAAAAACATCCATAACAAAATCGATAAATATTGATAGCAAAATCGAAAACAAAATCGATAAATATCAATAACAAAATCGATACAAAATATCGATAACAAAATCGATAAATATCGGTAACAAAATCGATAAAAATATCGGTAAAAAAATATCCTTACAAAATCAACAAAAATATCGACAGCCAAACCGACAAAAATTATCCCAAACAAAATCCATAAATATCGATAACAAAATCGATAAATATTGATAACAAAATCGATACATATCGATAACAAAATCGATAAGTCCCGAGAATCCCGAAAATCTCTAAAATCCCAAAATAGTTCCCAGATTGAGTCTCTGAGTCTCTCTCTATATCCTTCCCTCTTTAGTTACCTTTATTTTAATCTTTCTTCCTCTGTCTTCATCTTTACTTTTATCGGTATCCTCATCGTCTTCTTTGTCTTTACTTTTATGTTTATCATTTTCTTCACTTACATATTCCCCTTCACCTTTGCCCGTATGTATATAAGTAAAGTGTTTAAATTTACCTTGGTTTTCATTTTTGCCTTTATCTTTGTGCATCTTTTTTTTGTTTTTATTTTTACTTTTGCCTTTGTCCTTTTCTTTATATATGTACCTTTACTTTCTTTCTTGTATTGGTCTTTTTCGAAGTGTTATTCTTTAACCTATTATTAGCAAATTTTTGTTAAATTAATACCATATATGCATACACACAAGAAGCACTTGTTTCAGCCCCAACCATTTCAGTTGCACCATTTCCGTTGCATCATTTCCGTTGCACCATTTCCATGTGAAATTTCCGTTGAATTTGCCAATTTACTCCCAACAAACCAACCGCCGCTAAAGAAGTTTCACTTCAAAAATTAAGATATTAGTCACGACTTTTTCCCTTTCATTTACGATGTTGTTACATCTTTTTGCATTTTAGGCGACGATAAATACAGTAAAACCTTCTTCTGATTATATTATTAAATTCTCGGTGTCCACAAATTTTCGTTATTAAGCGGAGGGGGGATATTTAAGCGGGTAGTAGTTGCATTCGCGTAT